GGCCCCAGCCCCGCCAGCCGCATGTCCGTGGCCAGGCTGGTGAAGGGGACACCACTCTACCATGCCAGTCATGTTTAGGTAGGAGTCGTTCCATTAGCAGGAGCCGGTGGGCCCCAGAGGAAGCCACGTTGCCTGGCACCCTCATGGAGGTGAGGTGTGATACCACTCGCCCTTCCCTCTGCCACTGCCAGGGAGAAAGCGCCTTTCCCAGCACAGGCAACCCTGCCCACACAGGCTGAAGGTTTTGCCAGTGACCTGCCAATATCTCTCCCCCATCTCAGCTGGGTACAAACCTTCCCCGATGCACGCTCACAGGGCTTTTAGAGACTGAACTAAATCTAACGCAAAAGCAGGGGCAACTTTTTAAAAAGCCCAAGGGATAATTAATGACTCAGAGAACTCCCTGATGGAGGTAGAGGACTTGGCACTCCTGGAAATTATTACACTGAGGCTGGGCATCTTTCTAAGACACTCGGCAGTCCCGGCAAAGCTCCAGGCTTGAGAGAGGAGTCGCTGGTAACACCGCTGGTCTCTCTTAGGAGAGTGTTGTATCAGCTTCTCGTGGTGCAGCTGCCCACAGGTCTGTGAGACCTACAGCATGGCTAAGCTGTCGCTTTTAGAAGGAGCTTTATCTCAGGAACATATTCCCTGTAAAACTTTGTTGTCCTATTTTCCATTAATGTATTTCTGACTTGTCTTCTGTATATTCAGACAAGTCCCTCTCTGAGCATGCTGTCTTTTCGCAAACCAAGAACCAGCAAAACCTTTCCTCCTGTTTTTGAGCTCTCCTGCTGCCCCAGTGCCCGGCACACAGCTGGCTCTGAGGGCAGCAAGGCTTCACCTACATGATGGAGCAATCCAGGAGCTGCTGCCACTTTCATCCCAGCCAAAGCACTGGAGTGCTGAATAGCATTTTTCACCTTTGACAGGGAGGAGGAGCAGAGCATCCTCTGCCCAGCATTTGGTGTAACTCCAACAGCTTCTGGAATGACCTTCCCAGGCTCTTTAGTGCTCAGAGACCTCCCAGGTCTTTAACGCTTCTTTTTATCCTCGTTAGAAATCTGGGGCAGGAGCTAATAATTTTATCCCAAGCTAGTGGATGGCCTGCCTCCTGGCTTTGTTCCCAGCCTGTCTCCATTTTGTTCCTGGGCAACAGCCAGTAGTTTATTTGATATATTGTTTCCCTAATTCCTGGCCTTATGCCCCGTCATGACTCAATGTCAGCAATGCCTCACCCCCGTTCCCATTCCCCCACTTATCCACTCACTCTGTCCTTCCAGCCCACGCTTTTGAACGATTGTCTCCAAACCGTGTCATAAGCAGAGCTAATTTTACAGAGACAAAAAGTCACCAAACAGAGGTTTTCTCAGTGCCAGAATTATCATAGGTGCCTAAGTTGTATGTTGAGTGCAGGAATCATTTTTTAATGACATGCTGCCAACTACTGCGAGCAATCGCATGGTAATGGTCTAAGGGGTAAATGGCCTAAGGGATAACGGGGTGAAGTGGGCACGTACTTCTCGCAGGTGCTGCCTAGGACTCATAGCTGTGCTTCTCTCTTCGCGGTAGCCCCATCCTAAAACGAAGCCCTGACATCACCAAATCTCCCCTGACAAAGTCAGAGCAGCTGCTGCGAATAGATGACCATGACTTCAGCATGAGACCGGGTTTTGGAGGTATGAAACATGCACTGTTCCTGTTTTACACTGTTGCTTCTTTACATTGTAACATGTGGTTGGGCAAAAAAGCATATTGACAAGCAGAGCGTTTTCTATCTATTACTGTTATTTTGTGTTATGAATTCAGGGGGATAGGGGTGCAGTGAAACAGCTTGCTTTCTTGGATGAGAAAATAGCTTAGTTAAAGGCATGGAAATGTGATTACAGGCACTATACAATTCCTGGTACTCAGTGACACTTTCTTCTGATAAAAATCTGCAAATACACCTTATGTTTGCTCCTGGATGATGGGGAAATTCTAAGATTTCGTCTTACTATGGCGACGTGTGTGCATAATCAAATCACGTAGCAGGCTTATTGACCTGGTAATTTCATTTATAACCCAAAAGAAAATATTTTGACTGCTGTGTGTTAATGCTTGTTCACAGTTTTCTGGCTGTGTGTTAGAGAAACCTAAGCTTTCAGGGAAATGGATGAAGGAGACCGTGTTTTCTTTCAGCCCATCAGATTAGAGAATGTTGTAATTTATCTACCCTTTCTGGCTGACAGATGGTCATTCAAATCCAGGATACCATTATATACTCTGATGGAAGAAGATTTTATTGCTAAATGCTCAATATACCAAATACCAGCATGTTCAATTAATTTAAAAAGGTTTCAGTTTCATAGCAGTCAGCTAATGTGAGCATTCTTTGTCTTGACAGATCTCCTGTACTGTAATTGCCAGAGGTATACAAGGGGCTGGTCAAAGCCTGGAGGAGGGAAAAAAGATTGAAATCCCTATTATGTGGGGTCGCAGTCAGACCCTTCGCCTTGGGAGCCCCAAGCTCAGTGGCACATGCCCTGTATTCTGCAGCGCTTCCCTTCCTGTCACCCTGTCTCTTCCACAGCTGAGCTCCAAGTGATGTGAAAGCCAAGTACATGGAATAGTTCTCAGGGATGTTATTAGCCTGAGGGGAGCAGAAGAGAGGGAAAAATTCAGAGTGATTCTCCCGTATTCCCTTAGCTGTGCCACCACTACTCTCCGCGTGAATGGATGCTTTGCCAGGCATCTGTCTTGCGAATCATGGACTCGAGCACTAGAGCTAAAAGCAATTAAAATTGCTCTTAAATTTTGAAGGGACTTGTGTAGGATGACACAATAAAAAGAGGAAGTCAGTAGTAGGTCAGTGCTATTGCTGATTTTGATTGTTATTAGGAGTTTTTTGTTATGAATTCCAATCGCTTCTACTTTCATTTTGTTTACTGTTGGTTTTGTTTCAGACTGAGCATCTATTTTTATCTCTAGATATGAAAGCCAGAGGATTACTTTGTCTCACCAGGTTTATACTTTGTCAACTTTTAATTTTTTTCCCCCAGGCCCTGCAATTCCTGTTGGGGTGGATGTCCAAGTTGAAAGTCTGGACAGCATTTCTGAGGTGGACATGGTAAGAGTCACAGAAGAGCTAAGGTCAGATGGGACCTCTGGAGACCATCCAGCCCAAACCCCTGCTGAGAGCAGGGCTGGCTAGAGCGGGTTGCCCGGGTTTGTGTCTGTGGAGTTTGAATACCTCCAAAGATGGAGACTCCGCAGCCTCTGGGAGGCAGATTCAGATTTGATCTGCCTACAGTTACTGCTGTTGACCTTATGGTACTATTTCATCTCCCTTGAAGCAGAAGGAAGAAATCCAACATTTTATTTTCTGCAGGACAAAATGATACAACACTGCCAAAACTGTCTTCTTAGGAAGTGAAAACACATTTAAAAGCTCTGAGGTGACCAATTAATGTGCTGGTTTTAAGGCACTTTGATGTACTACAGACAATGTCTCACTTCTGCCATGTTCTGAGGTGGGCAGGGGCCAGCTAGCTCCCAACCAGAAGCTATGTAGCCACCCTGAAAGCAACAATGGTTCAGACTGGTAAGTCCTGCTCTCAACAGGGCAGCCAGAATGAGCTCGGAGGGCAGCAATTTCTCCAGAACCCGCCTTTGGCGCATTAGAAGTGGTATTCCCCCTGCTGTGTGCTGGGAACTAGCATAAGGCTCTGTGGGTCCTTTCTGTACCTTCACACTGATGCTGAAGTAGGATTTCAGAGGCAGGCAGGAGTGGGGCCGGTGCTCTGCACCTTACTGACTCTCCGTCCTTCGTTTCCTACCATATAATTTGTAATGTGAAAATGGACAGTTTTCAAACGGTCTCGAAGTGCTGCAGATTTTGGTCTGGACGATTTTTGCTAGAGGGGCTTTTTTTATCACAAAACACTGCTGAAAGTAAGGTATGATTTCTGCAGGAGATTTTCCATGGGAAGATTTTACATGCATACATGACACACAAACAACTGTCTATGCAGGAGAGCAGGAGCACAGAAGAGAAATGGGAGATGGCTTCAAGTAACCAAGTAGCAGTTCTCCCTAGTAAGAAAACCCATGTTGATGGCTGTTGGTTGTTTTTAAATTGTTCTTTAGAGCTACACAGGGAGGCTTCATTCTCTTGTGTTTGCACTTCTCAGGTTCTTGGTGTACATAGTTTCTAGCAGCAACCTGAAGGTTACCTATATCTTATTGTATAAGATAAATAATTTTTACCGTAAATAATTACGGTAAAAACTCTTTCTCATGCTGATACAAGCACAAAGGTTGAAGTGTTTTCCTTTTCTACTGTTTCTGCTTCAGCAGAGCAGAGGACCTTCGAAGTTCTGCACCCAGACCTAGTATTTTGACTTTGTACACCCCTTAACTACTGTCCCCTTATTCAGTCAAGCATAAGATTCTTCTGTTTAACCCTCTATTTGTATTTAGCTGTTAAAGACTGAGAAAGATTACTGGTGAACTCTTTCCTACAAATGTAATGACACATTTGAAACACAAACCCCCTAAAAATCCTTCCTTCTCACTGAAAGATAAAGTAACAGTCTGGGTCAACCCTGCATTACATTAACAAGAACCAAACTAACCAAGAACTACAAACACTATTAAAAAATCGCAGCTGTCAGTGACAGCAGAGAACAGGCTAACAGGTTTAGTGTCAACTTTTTATGAAAGTTTACGTATTATTAAGACACAAGACTGTTGCAGTGCAAGTAGAAATACATCTTGGGGAACAACTGCCAAAGAGTGCTGCAGTTTGTGATTTCTTTATTGGCTTAGAATACAAGAAAGGAAAATGATCATGAAATAAAATAAAACTTAAGTTTACTTCTGTCAGCATTACAATAGCTCTTTATGAAAGTATGTAGTATTACCAGTTCTGATGCACAAAACTTATCTTCTAACTCAGCTCAGTACGCAGCCTTTGATAACAAAACTAACCTTGATCCTGTTCTTTTACAGTTACTGACAAGACAAACAAGTTAACTATATAAAAGTCATACTGAATGATTACACAGTTAGTGTTTATAAACACAGAAACTTAAACTAAATGTATCTTGCAGTTTCTCCCAGTGCATTTCCCTCTGTGTACGTGCATATATTCTTATGCTTTCAGTATTTCCCTAAAACTTCTCCATACAGCAGAGTGGAAATTAACGGTAAACTCCAACACCTAAATCAGCTAGCAGTCTAAGGTGCAATGGGACAAGTTAAGAGAAAACACATCAAAGGTTGTTGAACCGCTAAATCAAGTAGGATTAACTGATGGTGAGGCAGTGAAGTGCCGTTGTTGTATCCGTGCTACATGGATGTGTGCCTACGAGCCTCTGTGGAGCAACACGGCACATCAAGTGTCCTTAGCCCTTGAGCCTCTGGAGAGCAGAATAAACCTCCCATAACCCAGGAGGAAGCAGTTAACAACCTGCTATGCCACCTGGAGGAACTGGCTGGCCAAGCCACTCTCCATCATCTATCAGCAGTCCTGGCTCACAGGGGAGGGCTCAGATGGCTGGAGGATCACCAATGTAACACCCATCTACAAGAAGGGGCAGAAGGAGGATCCTGGGAACTACGGGCCTGTCAGCCTGACCTTGGTGCCCGGCAAGATTATGCAGCAATTCATCCTAAGTGCGCTCACTAAGTGTGTGCAGGATAACCAGGGGATCAGGCCGAGCCAGCATGGCTTCATGAAAGGCGGCTCCTGCTTAACCAACCTGATCTTCTATGACCAGGTGACCCGCCTAGTGGATTAGGGAAAGGTTGTGCCTGTTGTCTACCTGGACTTTCATAAGGCCTGTGACACTGTTCCCCACAGCACCCTCCTGGAGAAACTAGCTGCCCATGGTTTGGATGGGTGTACTCTCTGCTGGATAAAGAACTGGCTGAATGGCCAAGCCCAGAGAGTGGTAGTGAATGGAGTGGTGGCCGGTCATGAGTGGTGTCCCCCAGGGCTCAGTTTTGGGTATGTTCTTGTTTAACAACTTTACCAAAGATCTGGATGAGGGGATCGAGTTCTCCCTCAGTAAGTTTGCAGATGACACCAAGCTGGATGGGAGTGTTGATCTGCTGGAGGGTAGGAAGGCTCTGCAGAGGGATCTGGACAGAATGGATCGATGGGCCAAGGCCAACTGTATGAGGTTCAACAAGGCCAAATGCCGGGTCCTGCCCTTGGGTCCCAACAACCCCATGTAACGCTGCAAGCTTGGGGAGGAGTGGCTGGAAAGCTGCCCGGTGGAAAAGGACCTTGGGGGTTTTGGCCGACAGCCAGCTGGACATGAGCCAGCAGTGTGCCCAGGTGGACAAAAAGGCCAAGGGCATCCTGGCTTGTATCAGGAATGGTGTGGCCAGCAGGAGTAGAGGGGTGATCGTGCCCCTGTACTTGGCATTGGTGAGGCCGCACCTGGAGTACTGTGTTCGGTTTTGGGCCTCTCACTACAAGGAGGACATTGAGGTGCTGGAGCATGTCCAGAGAAGGGCAACAATGGCCTCAATCTGTGTCAGGGGAGGTTTTAGATTGAATATTAGGAAAAAATTCTTCACTGAAAGAGTGAGTGGTCAGGCATTGGAACAGGCTGCCCGGGGAGGTAGTTGAGTCACTATTCCTGGAGGTGTTCAAAAACCTGTAGATGTGGCACTTTGGGATATGGTTTAGTAGGCATGGTGGTGTTGGGTTGACGGTTGGACTTGATGATCTTAGAGGTCTTTTCCAGCCTGTGATTCTATGCCCCTGCATGTGCATTGCAAGACCTACACCAGTTTTATGTAGCCTTTCAAAACCCAGAACTTGTCAGACTATCCTGTTGGAGCACACCCAGAGTCTCTCAGCAGCTCAGTTTTTGCTTTGGAAGAGAAAAAAAATCACATCCCAATGCAGAATACTTCTCAAAATGTTTTGCTCTTCCAACAAATATGTCAAACAGCTCTGAAGTTTTCACAGAAAGCCCCGACTTCTCCATGCTCCTAATTAACAGGCATATGGTTAAAAAGCTTATGCCCCACCTCCTCCCACATCTAAGCCAGGAATGCGGCTGTGTGGCAGCAAAGCTGTCATTCAGTGGCCACCCCGGCTGCACTCGAGGCTCCTCTCACCGCAGCTATTTCAGCTTCTGAGCAGGCTGGGGTACCTGCAGTCAACTGACCACATGCAGGGTGCAGCAGGGCTGCAATGAATGTTGTCCTCAGCCCCGGGGAGCCCTCCAGTTGTCCCCCCACTGTCTCCGGTGCTCTTGGCACCCTGACCACCAGCCGTGGGAACTCCGAACTTTTGCCTCTCCTGGGATGGTGACTCCTTCTGGTTGAGGACAAAGCTCGTGAAGGAAGTCAGAGAGCCCCCAAAAAGCTTTGGGACTTGAAAGCAAAGGGAAAGAACTTAACATCGGGGATTTTAAAGTAAAAAAAAACCCGAACAAACCCACTCATTTTTCAAGAATCGTTAAGATTATGAACGACTTCCCCTGTTTTTTTAGTACTGCCCCTGCTCCTCGTGTAACAGTGTGCTGCAACACTCAGCAACATGGGAAAAGCACTGTATGGCCTCTGGTAAAAAAACCTTTCAGGGTGAGTTTTAGCTGTTTGCAAAATAACGATGGAGAAGACTTCATACTGTCAGAATCAATTTTTTTTAACTCATGCAGCTTTATAGAAAATGGCCATAGTGCTTTGCAAGATCATTTCTAGCTTTTTAAATGAAGAGACGTCGGTGACAGAGAGATTCACTCTGTACTAAATTTAAGCTTGAGGAGTTAGATGTATCAGTCTTTCCTTTTTTCCTCCTACTTTCTGACTATTTGCAAGAAAGTTGTAAAATAGCAAACAACGTTATAAAACTTCATTAGGACATCACAAATCAGATTCTTTCTGTCCAATTAATTTAAAAATTTATAAATATCTATTACAGGCCACTGACCCTGAAATTAACAGAACTTTTGCAGGATGTGTGGGGCAGCTGTTTTATCTGGAGGAAAGTTGAGAAGAAGGAAAAAACCAGATATTTAGCCAGGGTTGGAAATTCATTTGCAAATGTAATGGGAGACCTAATAGCGTCTCTGAGAAATGGACCAAAAAAAGAGGAAGATATTATACGGTTGTTGCTTGGGGGATTTTACGATGATGTATTGTAAAATGTTGTGGTTCACAGTTAATAGCCTAAAGCTAGTATTAATAAATCTTTCATAATGAAAGCTGATGATACTTGATTTTTCCATAGCAACCATAAATGTAACTTCATGCAAAAAAAGTGAGGCATTGACTTCTTTTTGAAGAACAAATGTCTGTCAATTTATTACTGTGTAAAGGCCACATTCACACACAGGAGTCAATGTAAAAGGTTTCGCAGAATGATCTTCTTTAAATTTGAATACAGAGAAAAGGTGTTGAAGAATGCTTTAGAACGGATCAAATGGAAAAGAAGAAATTACCTGGTCAGTGGATTTGGGAGCTTCAGTTGGATGCGATATAAAGAATTTCCAAGAATGACATTGGCCTCTAGTAACAATAACATAGGCTGCAACTAATAAATCACTTTTACTGAAAAAAGACTGCAGAAACCACCGTATTTCAAAATGCTTGGAAAGCGTTGTGGAAAATAAATTTCAGCTGTCAAATAATTAAAAAAAAACCTCACCCCAAACCCATCTGACTTCCTCTACCCCAGCACCAGGGCAGACAGGTCAGTCTTAGGCACTTCTCTCTGTTTATGGGCAATACATTAGGCTTCACTCAGAGATACTGTGCTTATAAACATTTGTGTGTGAGCTCACCTTCCGATACGTGAGGGCTTCCTTTGAAGTGTATGTGCTCAAAGAGCAGGAGCATGCCTCGGATCCAAGAGTACAATGTGTGGGGAGAAAGAGTGAAAAAGACCCCATTTTGGTCAAATACTGAGTCAAAAACACATCAGCGGCTGTGCTGGAGGAAGAGCTCCCACTGCAGCATGCTGTTCCGGCTGCCTGGGGGAAGGCAGTTGCCAGAGCAGCATGGAGGGCAGTGCGGACACCACACACTTCTTCACTGTTGGCTCCAGAAACGTAGCATCGTAGGGTTGGGGGATTAGGTGGTCAGCAGCACCCTTCACCTACCGCTGCCTTGGTATGTCTGCCTTTTGGGCCCCGGAGGGGGCTGCAGACACCAAAACACAACCTTTGCATTTCAGAGGTGGATTCACCACATGGTTGGCCTCTGATTTCTGAACCCAGCAAGCTGGTCTGAGCCAAGGAATAAACAAGCTGCAGCTGGTCGTGACCCCTGCAGCTCAGGGGGTGGATGTGCCTTCAGGAATGGTGCTTTACAGTTTGTGGTTAGTCCCAGAGAGGAGAAGTCACTGCTCTGCCGATAACGTGTTAAGTTGTGACAGAAGCCTGTTTTTTGCAGGACTTCACCATGACCCTTTATCTGAGGCACTACTGGAAAGACGAGAGGCTGTCCTTCCCCAGCACCAACAACCAAAGCATGACCTTCGATGGCAGGCTGGTGAAGAAGATCTGGGTCCCGGACATGTTCTTTGTCCACTCCAAGCGCTCCTTCATCCATGACACCACCACGGACAATGTCATGCTGCGGGTCCAGCCAGATGGGAAGGTACTTTATAGCCTCAGGTAAAGCTGCATATGGTCAATGAGAGCTATTGGTGGAGTGAGAGAGAAAGCGGTTTAATTGATTCCTGTATTCTGTTTTTGCATGACTTCATACTAAAGAAAAAAAAAAATGTGCTGACTCTCCACCGACTTCCGAGTCCCTGTGCAAGTTTGTTAAGTGCCTGTCACAGGAAGCCAATTTATATGCGAACGTTGCTGGTTCCAGCAGTGTCGCTTCGCCTTGCGTGCATGGTTAGACCCTGCTCCTGCTGTCGGCAAGCTGTGGCCAGACGCTGCTGCCCCTCTCACCAGGGGCCAGCGGGCTGCCATCCCCACGGGGCACTGCTGAAGAGCCAGGGCACAATCCAAGGAAGAGGGCAATGTCTGGCAATAAACAGAAGTCCAGAGCAGCTCTACAACAAAGTCTCTGGGTCTAGCAAAATGTGCAATTTCTATTCTTACAGGTAATTATGAAGAAGTACAAATTATACTGAGTGCAACTTCAGCTTTGTAATGAGTAACAAACCAGGTGGAACATCCTTCAGCATATGAAGCGACAAGCTTCAGAGCAGGGGTATATAGATCCTGGTGACTCACAGGTGTGGCCAGAGCAACCCAAACACTTGCCTTCAGCTCTTTCTGGTTTTTTCTCACATTTCACATGAAACGCATGACAGATCCTTTAAGGGGACATTTTGAGTAAACTTTGCTTTGTCCTCTAGTTTGAGGGGTGATCCCAACCCTAGCTTTCTCCGTTATTTTCAAACTGGTCGATCAGCTCTGAGAGAAACATTGATGACCTAAGTCTGAACATTTTTAAACCAGGACTGATTTCTTTCTAATAAGTAACACTTTCATATCTAGAGATGCTAAGCGAGGAGCCGTCAGTCTCCAAAAGAAACTAAAATCGGTGCTCCTGTTTTTCTTGACTGCAGCTCCATCCAGTTAGAAAGCAAGTATTGTCAGACGACCCATAATAGCCCATTAGAGAGGAAATTGCTGTACAATATTCTGACACAAGAATGTCGACATCACCTCCACAGCAATGAAATAGCAAAATACATGATCAAGAAACAAAGCATCGACGATAGTTAATGTATTCTGAAGGACAAAAAGAAGGAAAATCTGACTGATGGGAGGCCAGCATCAGCAAGATGCACAGATTTAACTAATGATAAGGTTGCAGAACACATTACTTGGGAGGGCTGTGGAGGTGTCCAAGGGCATGTTAGCAACTTCAGGAGTGGCAGAGGTAGAGCTGAGCCTGCCATGCAGTGACGAGATCAACTTCTCAGCCTGCCAAGGTGTTTTATGATTTTATGAAAGGAAGGCAAGCAAAGCAACCCTTGATTTCCTATGGGGTATCAGTTTGACAAGAATTCTCTTGTTCTCTGATATTTTTATCTTACTGTTCTTCAAAATTCACAGTCTGAACAGTGCCTACCTTCTCCTTATTAAAGGCTTTTCTTCACTAGGTATATTAGATAATGTTCAGGTGTTGCTTAGGCCTTTGCAAAGTTTGCTCAGGTCCTTAGTACAATAAAAAAAGGACAAGAAAATTACATAATCTTCAGCTATAGCATGCAAGCCGACGTACTCTTTCATTTAGCTGCATGATACCCATCACCTGCGTTGCAAGAATTTATGGCTGTCTAAAGAAGATGGGAACAGAATAATATCAAACTACTCAGATCCTGTCATGCACAGTCTTGTGCTTAAACAGTTGTCCTGTACAAAATGGGGATGAACATCTTGAATAGCAAATTGACAGAGTTTCATGATTTTATTCAGTGGTGACCGCAGGTTGGAGTGCTTTACGAATGCTGGGGAAGTAGAAATGCTGGTCTCCCCTGTCGTGAGTGAGTGGTTAGGTCACTTAAATGATCGCTCAAAGGTTTTGCAAGAAAAGAATTTACTGAAAAATTAGAAAATATGATTTTACAAAGTTTGTTGGCAAGGTTCACTCTATTACTTATTAAATGAATGGAATACAAAAGGGGTTTGAATAGAAAATTATTTACACAGAGTGAATGAAAGTGCTAGGGGATAAGGAGAACCTCCTGCTGAGTCACCAGGTTCGGACTGGACCCCCTGGCTCTCTAAACTCCTTTGCAGAGAGGAGCCCAGGCATGGCTGGATCCAGAATCTGCCTTAGACCACAATGGTTTATATCTAAAGGATATGTTTAACAGCAATTCATGGTGTGTTCACAGTTTAAAGAGAGAGAGAATCACAGAAATTTAACAGCCATCAATCACTGGTTAACTTAGCATTTACAGAGTGATTCGAAAGAATTTACTGTTATTACAACCACAGTAATAGGATCTTATGCTTTGAATCAATTCACACACGCACACAATCATAACAATTGCCCTTGAGTTCAGTGAAATATTCACTTCAAATCCAATGGTTTCTCAGTGGGCGAAGGTTGAGTCTCGAGGAGATCAGCCCAGGTAGTTCATGAGTTACTCTTAGAGATGTCCCACTCAGAGGGAGTCACTGGTCACAGCCTGCTGCAGAGCAGAAGAGCTCAAAGGGCCTCACTTGGTACCGCTGTTTATAGGGACTCAAAATGATTGACTTTCGGCATCAGTAGTTTTCCATCCTGGTCACAATCCACATGATGCAATCTGGATATTTAGACAGCAACTGTACCATTCCAGTGTCACCCAGACTATACAGTTCTGACACCTACCAGGCGGGCGCGAGTCCAGGCATGGGGAGATTCAGGTGCGGTCAGGGAGCGGCTGATCGGCCCAGCTCACTGCTCTTGTGCAAAGACAAGGGAAGTGCCAAGGCGTCCCGATTCAGTGCACACCAGCTAACTATTCTAGCAGTGCAAGCAAGAAGACAATGTTGGCTGGTTCTGGGATTGCCAGGTGTGAGGGGGGCTGCACCATCACATCGCCTTAAGAGCAAGCGGGTCATTACTGCCTGCCTTTGCTGGATGCCTTTGCCTGTAGATTTTATTTTTCCTTGGTGCCTGACTTTTTAAGGTTCTTTGCCAGACTTTGTCGTCTCTCATCTTCGAAACCACTGTAGACCTCACTGGCACCTAAGCCACAAAACTGAGCCAAGCACTTTCACTCAAAGACTAAATCCAGGCAGGAAAGCAATGTCAGTTGGAACACACACATGCAAAAGGACTACCAACATAAGGGACTGCAGCTTGTTTTCAGCATTATGTGACAGACGTCTGTCTACCATTAGCCCTCCTATAACTCATTAGTTCTTCCCTCAGTATGATTTATACTTCTACCTTCATTTACTTTCCTAGAGTTCAAGCCAGCTGAGCCAAGGTTTATGGATGCTTCCAGTGCAAACACAAAATTATACTATTAAAAACGAGATAATCAGACGATAACACGACCAGAGCTTTTGATTGACTGTGCAGAGCGTTTCGGTGGTCTCTGTCACGTACCAGCTCCAGCCGTAAGTCGAGGCACTGCCTGTGCCCTCTGGTGGCTGGCACCCAGTTGTGATCACCGGGTTCCCACTCAGCAGCTGGAAGTTCGCCGGGTGTGGAGAAATCACCTCCATCCCTCACGGCACTAGGATGGCTTTGGAAAATGTAAATTGTTTTATCGTGCAAAGCAGCTGTTGAAAGCACAGATCTCTGCAGAGAGATGTTTGCTGATAGTCAAAGAGGAAGAATTGCCCTCTCTGTGTCTCTTTCCCATTTTATTTTCCAATATTTTCTTCTCCAATATTTTCCTCATCTAACAGCAATTTGTGGTGGCCTACCTTTCTAGTCATCTTTCCTAAAATTAGTTTGCTGAGTATTTATTTTCAGTGGACTGTTACTGTCCAGATAGTTAAAAAAAAACCCAAAACTTTCAGCTTTACTATTTTTCAGCTGCATAAGAAGGTAAGTTTTTAATGGGGCGCTCTTTATTATTCCTAGAGTTACAGTAACGGCAATGTGCAACATGGATTTCAGTCGCTTTCCCCTGGACACGCAGACGTGCTCCCTGGAGATTGAAAGCTGTAAGTAAAGCACGGGGGAGCTGAGGATGCACCCCATGGGCACCCAAATTTGTTTGATTATATAAATAAATTATATAAATAATTATACCAATAATGAAACTGCTACTACATTCATGGGAGCTCTAACCAAAGTTAGCGGACTTCAACATCAAGAAAAACTCCCTGACCGTATTTTTTCGCTAGAAGTAGATGATGTTTGCAACAACGGGGTGTTTTTAAACACCAGCTGTGTGTGCTGTCTTGCCAGTGTCCCCGACACCCAGCTGGGCTGCCCCGCTGCCACCAGGTCCCCAGAGGACCCCAAGCCACTCGGCTGTAGGTCGGCAGGCCCCAGCAGCACCTGCTCACCCAGGCGCCCTCAAAAACATAAATAAATGACTCTGTGCCCTTCACGCGTACCATCTGCTCGTCCTTGGGGTAGAAACCGTGACGGGGCAGTGACATTAATCACCTTCCTCTTACGTTTCTTATACCTATGTGAGATAAACCCAGCTTATGCCCACATGTAGCTCCTTTGTCCCAGCTGTGACACACATACAAATTCGCTGAGAGACAGAGACATTTTGAACTTTTAGCTTTTTATGAAGTTTTTTTCTTCTCCTTCTTAAGTTTGCAATAGGAATTACGATCTTAATTCTGTTTTAATATAATTGTGTGCAATTTTTTCCTCCCTCTGTGGGAAGAGCTGCTGCTAAACCCCATCTGAAAGGATTAACATTTGTATATTTCTACCTGTATTAAACAAACAAGGCCTGCCATGTTCATGTGTGCATCACAAGCAGACAGTTTACCCAAGAGTTTGTCCTCCCACATGCCTCAGACTCTTAATAGCCTGTTCCTCGCATTAACCCAAGCAGGTTCTTTCCTCTAAGTCTCCTTTCCTTTGCTTCTGATTTTAAGATGGTTGTAAGGGACAGTTTTTGAAGTTCTGATGCAGTGGGTTATCTGACACATATTATGTGTGCAAAATTATGATTTAAGAAATAGAAGGGTTTATAAAACCCACCAGGCATCAGGCCTGAGGGCTATGACAATGAGCTAGTCCACTCGGTGCTACAGCCATAGCCGCCATTGCTGAAGCTCTCAGCTGAGCGGTGGCATTTGGCCTTTTCAGCTGGGACCTCGCAGGCAGCCTGGAAGGTGTGTGGGCACACCCTGGGCTCTGGGTGCGATAGCAGCCAGCTCAGTGCACTGCACCGAGGTTTGCTCTTCTCCCCTAGATGCCTACACTGAAGACGACCTCATGCTCTACTGGAAGAACGGGAATGATTCCCTAAAAACAGATGAGAGGATATCGCTCTCCCAGTTCCTCATCCAGGAGTTTCACACCACCACAAAGCTTGCCTTTTACAGCAGCACAGGTGGGTACCGGGGTGCCTGCCAGAGAGTGGGCTGGGGGAACAAGGGGTGCAAACTATCCCTCTCGACCTTGGCCATGGAGGATTGTCCATTGGGAGGTCTCCCTGCGGCCCATCAGACCTGCCACTCTTCCATGCCAAGGCTGCTGTCCCCGCCACAGACTTCCATCTTGATGGTTATGTAGTCTGGGAAGGCAATGCCTCTTCAAGATCGCATTGAGCCCTAACAGGAATTAAACTGTCTGGGTGCACAGGTTATATTATCTTCTCTGGAAGATGTGGTCTTGAGAGACGCTTTGACCTTCATAGTCAGTTCATTAAGGAGTCTTTTCTGTAAACTGCAATGAGCTGTGGTCATTAACTGTGATTTTCTCAAAGCAAATGAGGCGCTATTCGCCTGATGCAATGTCACCTCATCTGAAAGTAGTTTGATGTTGGTGTGACTTCTCTTTTTCCTTCTCTCTGTTATAAGGTTGGTACAATCGCCTCTACATAAACTTCACTTTACGTCGACACATCTTCTTCTTCTTGCTCCAAACTTACTTCCCTGCCACCCTCATGGTCATGTTGTCCTGGGTGTCCTTCTGGATTGATCGCCGAGCAGTTCCTGCCAGAGTCCCTTTAGGTAAATACAACCTTGTACTCCGCAGACCTGAGAGACAATTGCTGCAGCTCTGGCCTTGACCATGAAGGCAAAATCCCCTGTGATATGCACTGCCCCTGCATTGCCCTGTGGCATGGAAATCAGCTGTGCCACACGTGTGTGTCCCACGCAGGGGACTGGCCACGGGACAAACTCTCTGTCTGCCCTGCGGTGCCAAGCGAATTGCCTCCCCTTCTTGCATGAGCGCTAGCTGCACGCAGTGCAAATCAGGGGGCAAACGTCCCGCTCTGCTTTCACGGGTATCAACAGAGACAGGGCGCAGTGAGAGCCGAAATGTCAGCACCCTTCAGAGACTTCAGTGAGCACAAAAGGTGAAAATCAATATTAGCAGCCCTGACAAAATTTCAATTTACTGAGTTTTGCTAGAGGAGGGAGGGTGGAGGTAACACAGTCAGCTGAGCTGTGCTGTTCGACTTGTTAGATGGGTTTAGAGTTCAGTGTGAGGAATCCAGCTTCCCCTTCTGCAGTATCCTTCAGACAGATGAAGGCATATGCCAGAGGAGTCACCACGGGAGCAGAACTATGCTATGGACATAATTCTTCTTTTAAAGTGGATGCTTTGGCCTTAGCAAAAGGCTGCTTGTATTTTTGCAGACTTCGAGCCCAAGCTTGCTTTCACTTATTCCAGGCAGCACACCTCAGGAATATATTTATTGTTAAAATTATATTCCTCAGTGGAGAGGCTATATACGGGCAGAACAGAGATGGCAATGGGACAGTTATCCATGTCTGTGTTTAGAAACATCATCCATTGCCTTGAGACATTATTAAAAGGAGCGTAAGGGGTTTGGCCATGGCTTTTCAAGAGGTGTAGGCACTGCCATTAGCAGAACATTTTACCACCTGGCTACTCCTGTGAATTCAGTCCTTTGTGCTTATATACATAATTATAACTTTCAAATGGATCATTAACGTGACATAATTAGCCCCTGGAAGAAGAGGGTCACAGAGAGCCTCCCCCAGAACTAAGATAACTCCAAACTACGGGGGCTCCTGCCCTTGCTGATGTGCTCGCCCATGGTGTAACGTGGGGCAGCATTGCTCTGTGGGGCCCCTGTTAGTCCCTGCTCTTGCCCCGGGGAAGGCACAGACCAGGCGTAGGAGCTGGCTGGTGACTTCCCAGAAAGCAGGACTTCCCAGGAGCAGACAGAAAACACAGGCTTGGGGAACCTGGTGGAATCAGCAGCAGTAGCAGACGGGCTTCACTGGTGCCTGTGCTGCAGAGGGGGTGAACTAGAAGCTGAGCTACTTGTATACCCCCTCTGGGGACTGTCCTGAGCCGGGAGATGGGGCACAGCCAGCACGGGGTCAAAGCGCTGCTGCCTGGCCGTGGGGTGGGAGGCTGGCGGTGTGGCGAGGAACCAGGCTAGCAACACCCCGAGACCAGGACTAGAACTGTTTTCACTGCAAAGACAAAACCCGAGTTAGAAATCAGGGCTGCCTGGACCCTCCTCAGGCAATGAAACCCATCACTCAAACATGAAAAACAATACTACAAGGTAAATTCAGATGTCAGAAAATTGTAATGACAGCTGTATTTGTGATGAAGAGTCTGGTTTGAAAGTGCCTTACGGTCTCTCTGCTGGTGTATTCCCAGGGATAACCACCGTGCTGACCATGTCTACGATCATCACTGGGGTGAACGCCTCCATGCCCCGTGTTTCCTACATCAAAGCAGTGGACATTTACCTGTGGGTCAGTTTTGTGTTTGTCTTCCTCTCGGTGCTGGAATACGCGGCAGTGAATTACCTGACTACGGTGCAAGAGCGGAAGGAGAGGAAACTCCGGGACAAGGTGAGGTTTTCTGTCTCCAATGCAGCCTTATGCCCCTGAGCAAAAGTATGGCAGATGCCTGGAGATGTTCAAAAGTCTGCAACTACGGTGTGGTGCTCCCAGCTGCCTGGGGGGAATGCAGTGCGTGCAAAAAGACACCAGCCGTGAGGGATTCTGGGTTATAAAGGTTTGCTGCAGACAAGCCACACCCAAGCTCACTGCTTGTTCTTCAGAGTCTGAGGGCACTCAGTCCCTCCACGTGTAGCTCTCCGCTGCCTGTATAAATGGGATAGAGTTTAGGATTTCACCTTTGAATATTTTTTTATACTGGAGATCCAAGCCTGTGTATAGCACCAGATGGATACTGCATTTCAGGTTTCAGATAACACGGCAGATTTCCCCCACCTTTCTCCAGGCACAGTCTAAGCTTATATACAGTGGTCCAAACTTCCCCCTTCTGCCCCCACTACATCGACTGATAACCTAAGCTCTTCTTTTCAAATGGGGCAAGCCTGACACCTTCCTCCTTGCAGATTCCCTCTGCCCTCTTCTCCGATTTTCTCAGCTTCAAGGTCCAGGTCCAACCTTTACTTACACTCTGATACCTGTGCTTAAGCCATATGCACTTTTCCACAGCCAGCCTCGCTCTCTCCCCGACCGTGCTGTGTCTTGCAGACACGAGAATGGAGAAGCAAAAGTCTGCTGCCCAGCCCCATCCTCTCATTCTCTTCTGTGTGTCCCAGCAGCCCAAATTCCTCAGGCTTGTCCTCTCCTCTGCTTTTGTACGGAGAAAAGGGATGTCTGTGTACATCCGGACCCAACTCAAAACCATCCTGCGCTTGCCTGTCTCCGCAGCTTCCCTGTGCGTGCAGCCTACCTCAGCCTCGGCCCATGATGATGGACGGCAGTTACAACGACGGGGATGTGAACGAACTGGGGCACTACGTGGCCGAGAACGGAGACAAACAAGACCGAATGATGGTGCAGCTGGCGCTGGGCTCTGAGAGGGGCTCAGGCAGGAGGAAAAACCCGAGATACGTCAGCATGCGGATCGACACTCATGCCATCGACAAGTACTCCAGGATAATATTCCCTGGGGCATACATTCTCTTTAATTTGATATACTGGTCCATTTTTTCATAAATATACGTAACTTCTGTAGTCACAGAGCACTGTGACATTAAATGAAAGTATTGTCTCATAGGCCAACAGAAAGAAAATGGAGAATTGTTTTGACTGGAAGGAAGACTGATTTTTTTTTCCAGGATTGTTTTTTTATTAGCTGTAACTCATCTCTGGCATAAATAGTTGTGCAAGTTTCACATTTCAGCAAAATATATGATACACAATCTAAAATTTTATACTTCTTTAAAGCTGTACTATGTTCCTTTTTGTGCCTCACAGGCCACTGTAAACTATTTTAACAAGTGACTATAATTGCCAGTTGCTTATACATGGTGCATCCTCCATTTTGTGCCCCTGAGATCCTAATTCTCGAAGTACCTGAGTGCATGTGCACATCTCTCAGCTCAGCAGGCTTCTCACGTTCAGTACCAGTGAATACAAAGAATATGCAAATACTTGCACGTTTGCAGGATGAGGTCAGAAATAGTCATTAGAAACACAAAATATCCAGTACTGGGGAACACTTTGGCAAGGTTATTGCTGGCTCAAGCTTCCTTACACTGCTAAATGCGTGCTGCACCGACAGGTCCACGCAGGAATACGTTCAGATTTGTGCTTCGTCTTGATCATATTCAAAACAAAGAAATCTTTCCAAGCTGTTCTGACTATCATTTTAAAATACGACTTGCAATGTACATTTACTAAGGGATGAACAAAGGCCAGACTTTCTGCAACACTAACCAAACCCTCTGGGAAATGCAGGAGCTCTCCTTGGATCTGCTCATTTGGGTCAGGGGGAGTTTTGCTCTTGAATTTCCTGGGAGGGGGAACAGGTTTCGCTACAAAATGATCCAGGGAAGACAATCAGGTGTCTAGAAAACGACTAAAACTACCCCAGGAGAAGCTGCTTCTCTCTGAGATGGTCTGGGCGTTACTGGTCTGTACAGCCTGAGAACCTGGTGCAGCCTGCAACTTCTTGTCCCTGCTGAAGCCACTGGTAATTGCACTCGCTTCCAGGAAAAGCCTGGTCCATCCATTTTTACTAAAAGCATAACGGAAAGGTGCTCAACAGGTGACAAAGCAGTTGTAAGGACTTTATATCTGAGTTACTAAAGATACCATGCCAAAAACTTTGGAATTAAGTAAAAACAAGAGTCTACCACGAGCCAGCGGCTCCGTTGCAGACACAGGTACATCTAACCGACTCTGCTTTCATGCTGCTTCCGTCCCCCCCAGGCACCCTGCAGCCCACCGTGCCCCGAGAGCAGGCTCAGCACCTTCCAGGGCAGAGGCAAGGAGACACAGCTGGAGCTGGGGGCACTCGGCATTGACCGGAGTCCCAAGTCTCCACCACAGTTTCTGCAGAGCAGCCAGCCAGCATAAACACTCCTTAAGGAAAAGGCAAAATCTGTAATGCAGAAGTAATAAAATATTTCAGGGAAACAAGAATCAGTTGAATGGAATCAGGGGCCTTTACAGTAACAGGAGCACCAAAGGTGTCACAGAAAGTGAGGTCGTCAGTTTGACCTGCTGCCCTGTGTTACCAAGTTACACTCGCAAAGCTAACCCAGGGTTTGGATTAACGGGACTTTAAACCTGTGCGTGATTTTGTACACAGTTATGAAATTCATTACTCCTTGCACAGCAGATGCTGTTGTCTTTCACAGGTGTAGCTGCCCTGAGAATCAGACCAAAGCAGCTGTGTCTCCAGAATGAATCTTCTTATGTGAAATCTGCCCTAGACTGACGGATCTGCCGCTCCATGCATTAGGCTCGTGAAACAGACGTCGCAGTTGTTTGAACAGTGCTGGCCATTGCTTTAATTTTATGTGTAAATAAATGTCATGGAAGCATATTCCGCATTTCTTACAACTGCTGAAATCATGATCTGTAAAACTCCCTACGCTCTTCTTGCACCTACAGCCTGCACTCCGTAGGTGTGTGTAGGTAGGTAAGGCAACGAAACCACAAAAGCTAACGTCATTAAAAGACACGTCCACCCATAAGATAGTTATACTACTACACATAGGCATTTTTTTTTCACATACACACACTATCTTAGCTTCATTTTACCAAGTTTCCTTCATATCATATTATTCTCCAGCGAGATTTTTCCAAGATATTTTAAAAAAATGCGTATTTTCTTAAACCATGTACACTTCAGTCAAATGAAGGTAGAAAGGTCACTCTGGCAGCAGCTGAAAGGCTGGCCACCAGGTTTGGCCACCCCTCCCTTATCCCGAGAGCACCTTCCCCCACAAACAGCTCCAAGATTCCTGGGGCACCCGCTCGCACAGGGATGTATTCATCCAGCTCTGTAAGAACCCGCTTCTTTCTGCAGCTGTAAGCACAGCACGAACAGGAGTGCCAGATCTTACACTCAGCTCTCCGGCTTCGTAAGAAGCTTGCTGCTGTGTAGTCTGCTGCAGTACTGTACATTCCTTTATAGACTCTTTAATCTCATGCTACGTACATTATTTGGCATCTGCCCAGCATGTTAAGGGAGATTTTGAAGACACAAATGGGAGTTGGACTTCTGAATTGCCTGGCTTTCGGTGGGAGACTGGTTTCTAATTTCCCATGTGATTTTCAAAGTTTCCCTTCCAGCACAACTCCCTGAACAGATTGCCCGACCTCCATATTTGGATTTACACTGTTAATTTACTTGTGTTTTATTTGGGAAACTCTAGTGCCTTTTCAGTCTTATATAAATGTGTATATAGCTGTATTCTGTAAGTACAGGATATGTCACATACAGCCAGTGTTTGCTATCAACAGCTCATTAAACATACTCATTAAACATATTTACATACGCAGTTTTTCAGCTTTTAACCTTCTAGCATATGGTTTTTGTATACAGTCACTAACACTCTGCTCCTTTCCATTTCCACAATAAATCAGTGATTTGCTTGTTATGGTCTATTTCTAGAAACACTCAAAATCACAATAAAACTTAACATTTGCACAGCATCGTGTGTTTTCTACCTCATAAAGAAAGATCTCCAGGAGTTTATACATGTACACAAGACCTTTTTGCTCAGGATCTGATCCAGTCAAATACCACATGTCACTACATCCTGTGATGCCAGTAGGGCTGCAGAGCCCTGGGATTTCACAGGCAGGACTCTGGTAAGAAGCCTGCACGCAAACTACAAATCACCAAGGTGACATTAAGGCTTCCACCTCAGACCGCATCTGTTATGGTCCTCGTTCTTCTCCCTTAGGGCGATACTTTGCAATATAATTCAGACCAGTTTCTTGGAGGTTAACCCAAAGCCTAGCTGAGGATTATGCTGGTTTTAGCAGTTGACGTGTATTGGCAGGTCTGTCTTGATGATGGAGAGACGCAAGTTCTGCCTGTAAGCATGTCTAGGTTCAGAGCTTTAAGGCTGCTCATAATTACTGATAGGCTGAAGTAGCAAGGATAACTTCAGTCAGCAACAGACAGAATAGTGAGAAGGCACAAGGAAAGATCAATGATCTCCTTGAGTACTGTGCTCAGTTTTTGGCCCCTCACTACAAGAAGGACATTGAGGTGCTGGAGCATGTCCAGAGAAGGGCAACGAGGCTGGTAAGGGGTCTAGAGAACAAGTCCTTCGAGGAGCAGCTGAGGGAGCTGGGGCTGTTTAGTGTGGAGAAGATGAGGCTGAGGGGAGACCTTATTGCTCTTTACAGCTACCTGAAAGGAGGTTGTAGTGAGGCAGGTGTTGGTCTCTTCTCCCCACTATCTAGCAATAGGACAAGAGGCAATGGCCTCAAGCTGTGTCAGGGCAGGTTTATATTGGATATTGGGAAAAAAAAAATTCTTTACTGAAATAGTGATCAGACATTGGAATAGGCTGCCCAGGAAAGTGGTGGAGTCACCATCCCTGAAGGTGTTCAAAAAAAGTGTAGATGTAGCACTTCAGGACATGGTTTAGCAGTCATAGTGGTGTTAGGTTGACAGTTGGACTTGATGATCTTAGAAGTCTTTTCCAGCCTTAATGATTCTATGAATCTCCAGTAAAAAGGTATTCTCATAACAATCAAATCGCTAGACACCTGCCTTTCTACATGTTGCACGCCCAAGCAAGTGATTCTTTCGGTACAAAACAGATCCAAACTCCCTGCAAGCCCAAATGAGCAAGCAGAAACCCCTGGTTGTCCCCTCTCCTGTGCTTGCTCACAGAGCAACATGGTGTTTGGTGGAGCACTGAAAGAGTAGTGATGAGAAATTAAAAGCAACTGTGAGAGCACCTGTACCGCACATTCCACAACAGAACACAGCTCATTCAGAGGCTGTACAACACCTATGGCCATGCAGATGCTGAAACCAATCCATGAAAGCTGAACTAATTGCAGGGCATGAAGCCTGTTCCAATCTCCAAGAAGCAAAAGTATACATTAACAGGAAAACTAAGGAAAACTAGAACTCCTGATGAACTTTAAGTACTTACCAGTTGTAACAAAGCAGGACTCCAGCACTGCAATCCTGATGTACTGCATTTGTGTGCTTTTACCCTTCAGTAGGGTCTTGGCAAGCTAAAAAGAGATGAGCCTTCGCTATGTTTGCCAGTTACCTTTGAGACTGAACAGCTGAAAAGGTTAACTTTGTATAGGTACTCTGGAGGTATATATTCTTTGAGTATATATATAAAATACAGTACATTCTTTGTATAGGTACTCTAGGTGCTCTATATAAATGGCTGCTAAGACTATCCACAACCACATGGACTTCATGCTTTCCTAGGACTGAGGCATTTGGCTTCTCATTATTTTTAAATAAGGTCATTCAGACGCAGTTGCAGCTGAGAAGTTCTTGATGAGTTTGTCAGATACTTTTGGCTTCCATTAGCAACCACAGGAATCCAAACCAGCAGCGACCTTACCCAGCTTACGGAGTTTGGGTAAGAACTGTTAAGAGGGATGCACTTTTGCTCCCTAATGAAACCACCGGAATGTGGGTGCCAGCAGCAGCCAAGCAGACAGGCTGTCAGACAAAGGTTCTGTGGGGCACTGCTACTTTCAGGACCAGGAAATGGTAAACCTTGAGGAATAACAGAAATCATAGACTGACTTTTTATTTTAAAATTATTTAATTGTAAACACTTTGCTCCTAACAAAAACCTGTTTCAATAAATGCTGTTAGCAAGCTACAAGGAGACCACTCTCAACGAATACTAGACAAAGACTGACCTCAGCAGCTGATACGTTGTGACTCTTCTTCACAGGCACCCAGTCTTGCTTTGTGACTGCCATCGGGTCACATCAGGTACACATCACTCGGGCAACGGGAACAGAACGAGCAGAGAAATGTGATTCACAAGAACATAAAGCTGCTTCCTCATTTACTGTTTGAAGAAAGGCTGCTGGACCTCTCTACACCAGGCAGCTTAGCCCAGCAGGTTACAGCTTCTCTCCTTCAAATCTTTTTGTAAAAAGAAATCTAGCACATATCATGGTTTACTTTTTCTTTTATTCTAAACCAGGCACATCTTTTACTTGAGTTATAGGACAGACTAAGTAAGGAAACACTGCAGCTTGCTAGGGTGGCAGAGGCTTTGAGTTCTCCACAAAGTCTGGACATAATCACCTCACCCTTTAACAGCTGTGATTTGCTATCAACTGTTCAGAATCATTTCAGCAATTACAGTTTATTACCTACACATTTTGATTCATTACTGAAAGTACTATTCTTGACAAATATTCCAGTGTTATTAAATTACAAACAGCTTGAGGAAGACTGAAGTTATGGTAACTTAAAAATATGCCAGATGTATTTCTATAAATATGATTTATGAGCATAAGTTACAGAAAATCAAAGCAAGTTTTATTCTCACAGGAAATAAATTTCATCTATAATGGCACTGCAGTAGTAAAATCGTAACATTAAATCCCAAACTGCTTTAGTTCTGCACCTTAAGAACGAATGTTCTGAGACAAATCAGAACTAACTTGCCTGGGGAAGCTGAAAAGTCTCCATCCTTGGAGACTTCCAGGATCTGGCAAACGAAGCCAGGCTCACCTGATCCAGTGTTGGTGGCAGTCCCGCTTCAAGCTGGAGGCTGGACCAGGTTTAGCCTAACAGCAATCCTTCAGAGCGCCCTCCTAAGCACTGTTCCTATTCTATGAATTCTAACATGTTTTAATAGATAGAATAGCCCTAAGTTTATAAAGACTACCATTAAATATTATATTTTGAAAGCATTAACCCTCACTATGCAAACTATGCTATGGCAAACCAAAACGCAAAGCTTAAGACATCCTCACTCTTACATAATCATATCAAAAAAGGGGGGAGAAAAAAATGAAACTATTCCAATGAGGTTATGCAGCACCCCAATATTAATCAAAGGGCAAGAAAATTCAGTCACAATTAAATTGCTTTATTGACATCAACCCATCTTTAATCAGTACTTCAGTTTCATATTAATTCCAGCAGTGATTACAACAAAATTAAGACACACTTAGTGCAGAAATGTTTAATCAAATGATCTTGGACATGATGCAGCCAACAGCCAGCCAGTCCGGACAAAGCAAACTGAGAAGGCTGTGAGGCACATCAGCTTGCAGGAAACACAACAGTGCAGCACGTGTTCCTGTCACTGGGATTCCAACACTCCATCTTCAAAACAGCAAAGCAAGAAGTTAAGCAGTTCACGCAGGAGGAAATAAAAAGCCACATACATGCAGGAAATTCACAAACCAGCTTGTTAACCCATTAGAACTTCATGAATTGTAACTGTGTCTGAGAACTGGCACAGCAGGGTTTAAATTAAAAGTTAACAAGAAAGGTCCTTTGATGAATTTTGGACCAAATTTCAGCTGGATTTAGCATCCAACTTACTATCCTGGACTTGCCTGTAGCTCAGACTCCAACCCTCATCTGTTTCATGCATTCCCCTGTCAAAACTGTCTGCTAATGAAAGCCAGGATACCGCTGTTAGAACGATGGCCCATCTTGTAACCTGCAATACTTACAGTCATGCTCAACTTTTCAAACAGCTGGCTTGTAATACAAAACAACCCCCTTGAATTGTGCCTCTGGTTCTTACTGAAACAAACACTTCCTTTTTCCAAAGACACTGAGCATTTAATAGATTAACAGACAGTCTGTGCCCTATTACCTACAAGCACAGAGGCTGAAGTATCAGAAAGTCTAAAACTGTCAAATTACCTTGTCTACACTGCCTACGTGCCACACAAACAGTAGTCAGCCTAGTCACACTTTTTTTCCTTCTAAGAAGGGAAAGACTCAATAGAATTCTTCAGTAACAGCTGGAGGTGCGTTACAGAGTGCAGAAATGCAGAGGGACTGCACAGTTAAACAAAGACAAGGAATCTGTTTTTTCCAAAACTAGAAACTGAACGTAGAAATCAATAAAATATAAACTCTGATTAGAATTCTAGAGTTTACCATATAGAGACTGATGTTGTTGAAAATAAGGTTTCTGACATTATTTTGAGTATTCTGACTTCCTGGGGAGTACAGTTTGCCTGATGACTTCTCAGAAGCTTTCTTTAATACCTATGCTTAGGAAAATGTTACCCAGAAAGCTGTTTTTTCACTCATTCTGTTCACCGACTCGGCAGTTTTTATCCAAACAAAAGATTAGTTCTTTCTCTACGTATTCACGTGATCCTTTAACAAGCAAATTAAAAAAATCCTGAGAGGTCTGGACACACAGACCACCACTTAGAAAATACTGGCAACATTAACGTCTCTGGGAAGCAAAATAACGAGGATTAAACAGATTAACCATACAACATGCAAAGGACAACTGGCAAGACTTTACAGATCTGCTGCTTAGGGTGTGGGAACAAACAGGCTCCAGAAGCCAGTTACTGCACAAGCAAGCTTCTCAGAGCTTACTACAGGGGTTTGCACACAACCAGTTTAAGGTTACCTTCATTTACTGCTTCATAGTACCATGCTTGCATCTTTGTGAAAAAGACTTCCACTGGTTTTGCTAAATTTATACACACCCTTCAGATCAGTTAAGCTAGTGCAACACCTTGCGTAGACACTTGCATTGCCTTAGAGCAGAACTTCAGAAAGGTGCACGTGCATTTTCCTGCAGTAGTTCAAACGTGCTAATTTAAACAGGTAAGCATTTAGATGCTTTAGATTTTCTGATCGATGACTTCCCCACAACACCTCCAAAAGTTATTAGGAGGAAGGTCAAAGCATTTCAGGACACATCAACCATTACAGATCACACTTCCATACAAACAGTTTTCTTCCATTGCTATAAGCTACTATTGTCAAGACCAGGCATGCTTCCAAATATATGCCCCTCTCCCCAGCGAAACCAGCTCAGGTTTTAAAGATTCTGTCTTGCTCCAGGAAAAAGTGACTGGTCAGACAGAAATGCTTCGTAGATCAGATTCAGCCTATGATCACCAAGCGAACAGTGCTTATTTAAGAACAGAAATTTCCATGTAAATGACATATTTCCCTATACAGAATATAACTTTAGCAATATATAGAAAACCACAGACAAGGGATCTAAACACTACTATTTAACTTAAAGACAATATATTCAAGATCTCTCTCTAAAATTCATCACCATACTGAATACAGCAAACATTAGAGCTAGATGAAATTGCACATTTTTGAAAGCAATCATACTCTTTGCTTCTTCTAAAGTCCCCCCAAAAAATCAACCTTTCTTCAGCTATGTGTTTATCCAGCCCCTTCTGGGATTTAAATACAGCGTCTCCATTATGTGAATCCTACTGAGAAAGGTTTAATAAAGCTTAGTGTGATGCGCATGCTCCTATGCCAACGCCAGATCCTTTGTTAGATTCTACTGGATTTATTTGCCCCTCTTCTTTTAGCTTCACCTGTCTGAAGTCTTCCCTGACTTCTTCCAGCAGACTTGGCTGGAAAATGACATCCAGTGCTGTCATCGCCAAAGCTTTCGCTGTGCGCAAAGCATAGAACTGAGCATCCTGTGACCCTGCAGAAAAAAAGTAAGAGAAATTCAAGATTAGATTACTAATACTACATACTGACCACTAGCTTACTGCATAAGACATTCTGTAAAATAAGATATTCAAGTTTCAATTGCAAGACCAGTTTAAGAATCTACTTGCATGAAGTATGTCTTTTCTGATGCCTCAAAACAAATCTTCACATATAAGTACTTAACTTTGTGCTACTGATGTAAACAATTAAGACTGAAAACAGGAAAATGAGTATTCACATCTTCCTTTTCAGAAAATGCAGTTTACACAGTTATCTCTTATGTAAAAATAATTTTTATCTTCTGGGTTTAGAAACTCTTCTGACTATGCTTCTGGGGATAATCCTTCTAGTTTCTTCTGTCTAGATGGTATACAAAGTTAGGCTTTTAGCACAAGGAGTGGTTATCCTTCCCATATACATTTAACTTTAAACACAAAAATAGATAACCTACATTCAGCTTTTTTCTGCAACTCTACAATTAACTAAGTTAATTGTTTCAGAGTCCATATTCACCTCAGATCCCATCATGCTTGAAGAAAGTAACTCCCATTTCTACACAGGTATTCACATGCAGCCACTGTCCGATCTAGCACTTACACTTTTATACATATACTATGCAGTAGGTTTGAATGCCATAAAAGCATGTGAAAGCTTTAATCCTCTGTAATCTGAAATATTTATAAATTCTAGATTTGCTGTAGTGAAGAGTCAGCAAACAGTCCCTACAATGCATAAAGGTTCCAAATGTAAACCTCTAACCCTTTGCACTCCCACTCACCAGCAGCTTCTGTGTACTGCTCAGTATGATTCAATGCATCAGAGCCAATATAAAAATAAGGATGAAGCCCAGGGACTACAAACGTAACGTTTCCAAAGTCCGTGGAACCTAGAAGCAGCACAGAAATTCTCTTAACAAACAAGAGTTGAAGAGTTTTGAATGCTGTAAGAAAATGTATGATAGATATTATGTCCAGCCCATATCTAAAGTGGAATATCCTTTGCCCCAAATACTAAAATAAAAGCATTCCTAATGAGTCATAATTCATACAAAAATCTCCCATCACTGATTTATTTTCCCTAACTAGCCATCTTCAGATGCTGCTCTCCAGTGTGCTTCTGATCAATAATCAGTTACTGGACTGCAAGGAAGACGTATCAGCATGTTCCCATTCCATTCACTGGTATTTTTTTATCAAGCATGTCCTGCTACTCTAATTCAGAAACAATGAAAGCTGCAAACCTTGGAGCTTTGGGGAATTCAGCTATTTTCCTGCTACAGCCCTCAGAACCAGGCCCAATTCCTGCTTTTCACCAGTATGCAAATATTCAGCATTAGGTAGGGGACTCTGAAGTAGTAACAATCTATCTTTACACAAAAACAGATCGAGTATAACTTTTTCCTGTGCTTTTTGATTATTCTAAGTTATGGAAACCTTAGCAGCACAAGCACTCCTGGAATAACAAGACAAATAACTAGACAAAACACTAATGCTCTGTAGACAAAAAAATTCTTGATAGCAATGCTGCAGATTTTAATGATGATTCTTTCATGCCTGACTAGCACTTTCAGTGTGTCAGCTAGTGATAGTACTTATCTCACAGTACTGCCTTATCTATTTAATGATACCATCCAGAAGTAGTAGATCCTTCACAATAAATCACCCAGGAGTCTGCAATCACTTCCTGTGTGCCTCTTTTACCCAAACAAGCAATCCACTTGGTATTTGTTAAAATGACATTTAGAAGCTGGAGAAATCAACATATCACTTGTTATGAAATTCAGATACCAGAGGAAGCATTGTTTCATAGTGGGTAAAAATAGGGATGAAGAACTAAGATCTCAATTAACTTCCTTCAGGCCAATCAGAACTGCAAGAATTTTTTTCTTTAGCAAAGGCATATAAAATGACGGTTGCAAAGACTTAATATTATTTGTAACACATCAGGTAGCCTCCATATCATTATACTTTATGGAGAAGATACTGCTAATGCCTTAAGACTTAGCAACAAAATGACTGAAGAACACAGATTTCATTTGGAAACATACAGCTAATAAAAGTGAGTCCACAGAGCCTACATTATGGACCAAAGAGGACAAGACTAGCTTGCTATTTGCTTTGCCTACGAACAGAAACAGGAAGCCTTGTCCAAAACCATGGACAAACCATAAATTCATTATGCATTTGAAGAAAATCTAACTCTTGGCACAGCACCAAGTTATTTTAGTTTTCAGTAGTCTACACTATAGATCCATTCTTTGGTCAGTCTGGAAAGACAAACCAGAAGTACAGAAGTTCTGCCTACTCCAGACTAAACCAAAAGCTCTAGACCTGCCTTACTAAGTCCCAATATACAAACCGCTGGAAAGACTGTGTTGGCCTTTTTGCATCCAGCAAATTAAGCCTTAGCAATTTCAGTGTATCCCAGCTCTCAGTCATGGAATTCCACTTAAATTTATATCCATATCCAATCTACTAACAGTTTACAAGTTATTTTTGTTGAATGTAAGGGATTTAAACTTGGTATTTTCTATTAAGACGGAGAGCTTACCAAGCCAAAATCCAGGCAGCTTTTAACAAAAATGTGACGGTCAAATCTTCCCCTCCATCAGAAAAAAATCTTACGTTCTTTAGTGGTAATAACCTAGTGGCATATGTAAAACATGAGGTGTTCCAATGATTTCCATACAAACATTGGAAATGTATGCTTGCTAGAGATATACAGATTGGGATTCCCTCAGAAGCATAAATAATTGCATAGTTGTCAATGCAATACACAGACTTGTGCAGTATCTTCAACAGACAGGCATTGGGAGCTCCAGCCTCTGAAAAATACATCCTGAAGTTGATACTGAAGCCTCTTCCAGTCACTGAGCACGTAGCAGAAGCCAGTGTCACCACAAACATGAACGGAGGGGTAAAAAGCAAAATATTCCAGGAAGCATTTATATACAGCCCCAAGCTTCAACACTGGTATTTTCAAAACATACTGGCTCTTTCCTATGATTATCGGTATCAGTTTTGTGCACAGGAAGCCAATGAACCCCATGAATGCTAAAAAGGTCAGAGTAAGTTATCACAAGCGTGGGTGCCTCAATTAAGGCATGCAAACTAAGGCATCTTGCTTCGGTAGGTTATTGACATCCTGTAGTAGAGCTACCCTACCAGCAGAACGAGAAACAGGCCATGGCCCCTGGTCAAAGCCAACTCAGATTCACATTATTTCACACCATCCTGGCTGTGTGTCATGAGTGGAGTGTGCATGAGGCACACACAAGGTAGTGTGATTTGGTGGACTAACGGAATTCTTCGTAATGCTTAGCTGCCTAGAGCGATACCTGTAAGCAGACCGATACTAATACCCATGTAGAGGTGGCAGCGAGTATGCTCATCTGTTAACGACTTTTCTGCTGCACAGACATGGAGAAGCAACTGAGCTATCTTCCTTCCCTTTCAACAGAAGAAACTGATATCCTAAAAGAAAACATTGAAAACCATATGAAAACTAAACAGAAATAGAGGTCTTGAAAAAGATGAGATAAAACACGCAACCCCTCCCAAAAAGGGTAGCATACAAAATTCCACTCCTATGTCTCCGGAGACTGCTTTGTTATCACTCCTGAATGCCCACTGCAAAAATTCAGAGAAGCAACTGTGGAAAGAAAATTCAGTAAGGCCCACGGCAGTAATAAAAACGTAATTGCTCAAACACATTTTGACATTCAAGCAGCAATTTAAGTACAGGATAGGCATACGAAGAGTTTCAGTTTAAGCACGTTCATGTTTAGCATTTAGCATATCATGTAACTTACATGAGAGCGCACTATTACAAGTGGGTGTCTGCACTAAGTTCATTCAAAGCCCTCCGAACCAGCAGGATCACCAGTATTCACGATCTTCACCCGTAATACAATCGTTTGAAGGAAGCAACTAGCAAAGCTCCATAATGTTTCACTACAGTAAACACTCTAAAATAAGGTTCCTCGGTCCCTTTCTTAGGCTAAATGAGCAAAGCAGTAAATCTTACTTGTACCACACTGAACGAAATAAAAAGAAATGTGCATTTAGTTATAATTTGCTTTTAAACCCAAGACAATGAAGCAATTGGAGAAAATATGCCAGTGTCATTTTAATTTAGAAAGGAAGAAGAGACAAAACAACCAGAACACCATTAGATACGCTGCCTTCCCCCCACAAAAAAGTTTGTAGTACTCTATACCCAAACACCAAGATCTCAACTATCCACGGATAATCTCCATTTAATGTACAGAAGATTAGTACGGCAACCAAACTAATTAGAATAACAGTTTCTTACTGAAAACAATCTTTTCCTTTCAACCAAAGAGTAAAAGTTTTATATATACAGTTACAATCAGTGGTGAAGGCTATAAAGTATCAGCAGCAGTTATAAGACTGGAACAGAGCTCCTGCAGAAAGATTCTGGAAAAAAAAACTGTTAAGGGTAACGAGAAACCCACCTGAGCATTCAAGAATTCACACTCCTATTACTATACCTCCGCTAGACCAAGAAAGTGAAATAGTTTGAGACACAGCCAAAACTCAGAAGTAAACACCTACTTGAATGGAATCCTTTGGAAAACTAATCTATTGGACTCGTGAACTAAAATTAGAAGCACAGAATACCTGTTAATGGAGAAAGGTTTAAATTAGGTTTACTGAGAGGCTTAAACTTCCAGTTTAAAATATCTTCAAAAACTCCCTCTAAAATATTAGTTAGATGCTAGAACATTTGTTTATATGTAATCTTGGAAAATATTGTTAAACAGGGTTCCTAAAAACTAAATCTCATCTTCATTCATAGCATAAACCAGAATTCTGTATTTCAAAGTAACAGAACGAGCCGCAATTCATTCCACATCCTCCCTCATGTTCTCAGTAAGACAGTTCTTATCTTTCCATCCTTCCATCCCTCCTGCCAACCAAACTGTTTCTTACTTGAAATACTCACAGAAATATTATCAGAAAATGATTACTGTCTTCCATACCCGTTTGGAAAATTTCTCAGCTTCTACAACAAATACAGAAACACAGGCCAGAGGTACGATCCTTTTGCACAGCTTCAATTTTCTAATTTGGCTTTCTTCTTCTGACCAAACTACATTTAATACACCTCTAATCCCATTATTTTATACATTTACGAGTTGATCAATCTAAGCTTAAGTCATAACAAAAAAACCCAGATCGAGTTACCTGACAAACCATTCAAGACGCAGTCTTCTGATATAAACTCTATTCCAAGCTTCTTTCCATTCTCCTTGTAAACCTTCTGCAGGCTCTTATTTGGAAGCACGTTGTAGTAATCATTTTCACCACCTTTTATTTCCACCTAGACAAAAACCCCAAATGATTAGAAATTTTTCACCAATCTAAGCCAGCTTAATGTAAAGAATTTAAAGGGTGGAAAAGTTAAATATATGTCCATACTTCAAGCCCATGTCAAAACAGACATAAGTGCCAAGTTTTTTTCAAAAAATGCAACATTCTGCCAAATATTAGCCTTGATCAAAACACAGCTGGTGCTTTGTCAAGCTTGCACTAGATAGCCAAATTCCAGAAGCATGGATTTCACTGCGAGTATCTCCAAAAATAGTAAGCAAACATTTCCTGTAACTTCTAACGATTTCCACTGCAGGTACTACTAAGTTACACAGAAATCAATTCAGTCTCTCACCAAATTCTATTTCACTATTTTTGTTTAGAACACTTCCAGTAACTACAGTCTCATTCATGAAATGACTTCACACAGGCAAGAAGCTTGAAAATAAATGTAAAAAACGTACTAATGTCAAGTTTCAAAAGAGATCTCGACTTTCACTCTACATAAAGTACACTTTCTAAAATCCTTTTCTAGCTAGAGGGGAGAGGCCATACTAGGAAAACAGCATCTAATGCCTCAAATAGACTTGAAAACTCACTAGGTCACATTCATATACACTATACCTGTTTGTTCTGATGAGCACAGACATCCTTTTCACAGCTCTATTAGCCATCGGCCTGTAAAAATGGAGCAGGTAGAACTGCCCATCTTAGCAATACATTGCAAGGTAATGATACTGGCAGAACCAGCTACAGGAGAGACACTTCCACTTACTAAAATAAAAAAAAATGAGCAGAACACTAACTGAAAAAACCAGTCAGTTTTTCACATTTGTCTGCTATGTGACCCTGCTGTTTAATGGGGCAAAGGAAATAGAGGGATGCTCCAGCTCACTGAAAAAATCCTAAAGGTCACATACATCTTGAGGAGCCAGGAGGAGGATCTTGGAAATTACAGACTGGTCAAACCGTCCTATCCTCAAGCTCCTGGAGAGATTATAGAGCAAATAAATCCTCCTAAGATCCATGTCCAGGCACATGAATCATAAGGTGACTGTGACTATCCAGCATAGATTCATGAAGAGCAGATGGTGCATGACCAAGCTTAGCTTTTCATGACGACAGGTCTGGCTCAGTGGACACAGAAGACATTCAGGCTCAAAGTGTCATGATCAGTGGCACAAAAATCCGTATTGCTGCCTGTTACTTGTAGCATCCATCTGCAATCAATACTGGTGCCATTACTGTTCTAGTATCTCCATTATTGATGCAGACAACACCTGTGAGACCACAGCTGGTATACTGTGTTCATTTTTGTGCTCCTGAACTGTATGTAGACAGGAGAAGTTCAGGGGAAGACCACTAACACGATTAGAGTGTTGGAGAACACAACATACAAGGAAAGGCTGAAAGAACTTGGTTTCTTAACCTTCAGAAAAGAAGGTTAACCTGCCTACAGCTACCACATGGGGAGGGTAGAGATAAGACTTCTCAGAGATGCCCAGTGACATGACAGGAGGCAACAAAGGAAACTCCTATTAGATACAACAGAATCAAAGAAGTTAGTTGAAGTTGGAAAGCACCTCTCGAGTTCATCTTCTCCAACTTCCCTGCACAAGCAGGGTCACCTAGAGCTGGTTGCCCAGGACCATATCAATGCAGCTTTTCAGCATCTTCAAGGATGGAAACATAAGTCTCTCCAGGCAACGCATCCCAGTGCTCAGACAGCACAGTATAAAAACCAGGATAACCCCTGTTCAGCATGAGATGGGTAGGGCACTGTTGAAAGAGGTTGTACAATTTCATCCTTGGAGATACTCAGAAGTCCACAGGCACTGAGGAATCTGCTCTAACTCGTCCTGCTCTGAAGAGCGGCTTAGACTAGATGACTTCTGGACGTGTCTCCCAATCTAGATTATTCTATGATTCTATGGCATTCTATTCACAAAACCAAGCTTTCTTTCAGGACAGAATTGCAACAGAATAGCAAATAGTATCACTGACATTGTGATTTCTTTCAGCTAAACACCACGCAGACAAATGCTATAAGCCTCAGCTCCCTATTCTGGCCTACCTTATCTCTAGCGTAATAGAAACGCATGACCACGAACATATTCTTACTTTGCATCCTGTGGCCAGTGCTGCAGATTTGAAGCAGTTCTCAACCTTCTCTGTCAGAACAGAAAGATCTTTCATTGAAGGGGCACGCAAGTAAAACTCAAGTTCAGCATAAGAAGGAATGATGTTAGGTTTCACACCACCATTTTTTATTACACCTGCAGAAAGGGAAAAGTCATGTTATCTGTGTTAAATACAAATGCTTGATCTTCAGCCCTGTAATGAAACTCCTTGCTCAAAAACTAAATATATAAACCAAAAAAACCATCAGCTGAGCATGAAATATATAAAGAATGTCAAAAATACAATATGTGGACAAAGTTTCTTCATCACATCAGATTAAGTGGAATATGTGCATGTTGTTCAGCCCAATTTAATTGCATTCTTTGGTTAGACATCTGTTATAAACCTGAAAACAAGTCATACTAGCATTTGTAGTTAATACCCTAAAATTCAATGCACCAGAGTCGTACAACAATTTGGCTGCCATTGAACAAAAAAAATTGTTATAAAGGCTACCTTGGATTCCAACTTTTAAAGGTTTCCTCAGCTAGAGTATTTCCAACTTATTTTGCCAGCTTGGAGAGAAATTGAGTAAGCTACATTTCTCAGCAATACTGGAGTAATGTGTGTTGCAATGCACAGGAAGTTAATTAGATTCCTCATACTAATTCTTTAGAAATACTGTGATGTGCAATACACGTAGTTTTATTCAAGATCAAAGTTTGAGTTGAAAGTGTTCCCTCACAGAAATGTGTGACAACTACATGGTTTTCAATTATGGCACCAGAGACATTACCATAAAAGACCGTAATCTTTAGATACTTCAACGATAAAACATACAGACCTCAATTCTACATTAGATTTCAGTGCATTAACAGCTCACTGCTTTCAACAGGCTGTTTGTTTCCCTGGCCTCCTATCGTCTCTCTCTCTCTATATATATGTTTTATATATGTATGTGTGGGAAAAGATTCCTGTAGAACCTGAGAAACTATCTACCTTAAATGTTCCTCCTGTGCAAAGATGACTAACAAAGCTAGTGAAGGGTCTAGAGCACAGGTCTTACGAGGCGTGGCTGAGGGAACTGGGGTTGTTCAGCCTGGAGAAAAGGAGGCGGAGGGGAGATCTTATCACTCTACAACTACCTGAAGAGAGGCTGTAGTGAGGTGTGTGACAGTAACTTCTCTCAAGTAACTAGCAATAGGACAAGAGGCAACAGCCTCAAGTTGCACCAGGGGAGGCGTAGATTGGCTATTAGGCAAAACTTCTTCACTGAAAGGGTTATCAAGCATGGGCACAAGCTGCCCAGGGAAGTGGTGGAGTCACCACCCCTGGAGGTGTTTAAACGACATGTAGATGTGGTGCTCAGAGACATGGTGTAGTGGTGGACTTGGCAGTGTTAGGTTAACGGCTGGACTCAAAGGTCTTTTCCAATCTAAACGCTTCTATTATTAAATGGAAATACTGCACAAACTTATTGATGTGTGTCACTGAAACCTGAAAGGACAGCACTATCAGGATGCAAACAGGCAACAAATCTTTACTTTTGGTGCAGAAAACCTACGAAGACTATGAACTCCCCTCTCAAGTAAAACCCTTCCGATCTTGAATACAGTCAAAGTAAACAAAGTGCTGAATTAAACCACTATCAGTACTAGTCCATAACAGGAACAGCTCCGATGAGAGGGACAGACATCACACAAAAGGAACAAGCAACTAAGTCGTCATGAATTTGCACAACGCACATCATTATATGTCTGCTCAAAACAAGTAGCTTAATGAGTAAACGGTTTTCATTTGTCTTCCAACACATTTGTAAATGGAACTGGATAAAGCCTAAGAATATGTCTGCACTTCAATTTCAAAGCAACTACAATATGGACTGGACAGCAGATCTAGCTTAAAAGTAGGCTGCCTGCACACTACCAGCAGCACTTCGCATGCCCTGCTTCTAGATAGAATTTTTTTTTTTACAGCCTAATACAACTTCTTGCAGAAAAAAAAATTTCTACATTCCTATTTTTCAAGGGGGCAACATTTAATTAATACATAAGTTTCTTTCCCCCCTACTTATGAAATATTAGATAAACTCCAACAAACATTGTTTAAGTACATAAAACATTGCTTAGAAATTCTAGACTTTAAGTAATGGAAATTATTTCAGTTCTTGTTAGTGGGTTAACACTAAGATTTTTAGGATCCTTTAAGTCAGCCACAGCTGTTACTGCAAGCTTGCAACACAAGACCTCCAACACACTGCTGTAAAGAAAGCATTTCTAAAATTAAATCCCATTCTGGCTGCTTATACTTTTCCATAGGTATTTTAAATATTTTCAGTTTGAAAACCAGGTTTATGACAGAAGTTGTATCAACACAGTAATTTAAGTTTCACTGTGGTTTGAGGAGGCTTTTTTAGATACTCAGCTGTTTTGCCTACACTACCCACATAGCCTTGAGAAACTACGAAGACAGCACTATTTAGTGCTTTAGGCTTAGATTTAACAGAAGACTTAGGCACCTCTAATTCTAAACCTGCAACGTATTAGTTCCAGACACCAAAACTCATAGTTAAATGCCTTGTTTCCTATAGAGCAATAGGACATAGAGCTAAGACTACGCCCACTATCTGAAATTCGTCTGGCTATGCTGCACAGCAGAGCTGCAAACATATTCATCTACAGTCAAAAGGCTTAGGGCTTCCAGACTCCATCCAGATATCCTGGAAAGAAATACACACATGTATTACAAAGTACAAGCAGCCGAGACGCATAATGATCATTAGCTCAGAACTTCTGGAAGTGTTTTAAGCTCGTAACAAGTATTCCAAATGGACAGGTCTACATTCACAAGTCCTGCAGAAATGGCAAAATTTACTAATTTCAACTTGGAAAAAGTTGCATCAGGTGTAATAAGGGAAATCTGGGTTTATAACTAAAGGGCAGATTCCAACTCAACTTCCAAAACAAAAAGAAATGCAATGATGTTGAAGGGGTATGCATCAAGCTTAATGGTTAACATGCCTTATCACAAAATGACTTTCTACTCGCTATTAAATATTAGAATCCAGGGCACATCTAGCTGACTGGGCTGCTAACCAGAACTATGGGCTTCTGCCATCACTTTTTTTTTTGTACTTCAGCAAATAAAACTTCAGTCACTAGACCACTACACCTTTCCATAAATGTAAATATAAATGCCATTTAAATAATGGAATGTCTACTACAAAAATGATGCAGTAACGCTTCATTTTTCAGAAGCACTTAATCTTACAGCTTTGCAAAAACTTGTACATAAGCTTTAAGGAATTCAAGGCCACATACCAAAATAAACTTAGGACTTTGTTTTTTTTCTTTCTGAACTGCAACTTCAAGTGTAAAGACTTAACATTTGCCTAGCATCTACCTACTAGATACCAGCGTCCTCTTTTGAATCTGACCCATAAGCCTATTTTCAGAAGTTAGTTCTGTACATTGACATGATTTCAAAGATTACAGACAAGCTTTTTAAATGAAATGGTGCTATTTGATTATATCTGAAGTGACTATACTAATTTAGTGAAACAATGCAGTATTTTAAATTATGGGATTTTGTGAGTTAGTATTTCAACAGCCTAAACTCTTACTTGCTGGACATTACGATTTAATGAAGATCTCACCATGAACTCTCCAGGTCGGTTTCATTTGCTGTCTTAAAACAGACAGATTGTTGTATGCAAGAACGGCAGCATCTAATGCATTAACTCCTTCCCAAGGATAAGCAGCAGCATGAGAAGCTTTTCCATAGTATTTCACAGTCACACTAGGAAATAAAAGGCATTGCTTATTTGTTTTTCATTCACTGAAAAAACCTCTAAAATAAAAAGTTCCTTTTGTTCACACAAATATTTAAGTTTTGTGCAGCAAAACACCAAACAATTTATCTGGCACTGTTGCAAAGTTGAACTATCACTGAGTGCAGGACGATGCCGAAAGACTTCTAGAAAACCAGTAAAATGGAACAGTATCAAGAGCCAATCAGGCAAAAGAGCTACTGAAAACGTACCACTCTACAGCCTTTCCTGAGATGTACAGGCTTCACATACTAATTGAATGTCTCCAACACCTTTCCTATGCCTCCTGACTCTTCTGAGATTTGAAGTTACTAACATTCTTCCCAAAGGATAACAAACCCTTTTCTCTGATTCAAAATTCGAAGTTGATTGTCCTAATTCTTGTGTATGGTATGTAAGACAGCAAAAGCATACTACTAAGATCACATACAAGCCACGTCTAAACAACAAAATCCAAGTTTTAACGTGCAGTAAAGGCATAACCTGGTATAAAATATACATTACCGTGCTACAGCAATGACGTTCTTTCCCTGCACACCTCAAAAATGTTGGTAGACAGGATTACAACAAGGAAGAAATCTAGTGCAAAGGTTATCCTCCAACTTCACAGAAGTCAAAATACTGCACTTAAACACATCCAGTAAGAATTCATGCTTGGCTTCATCTTATGAGGGCCATTTATACTAGCCTTACAAGTAGTTTAGTATTTCAGATTATATGAAAACTCTTTACATGAGAGGCAAATATTAAATACTGGCAACTATATAATGTATTGCTACTTATGAAATACACAAGTATTAGTTTATTAATACTAGAGATTTTAACTAAATCTGTTTTTACTCAATACTCAGTCCCTTACCTAAAAAACTCCATCCTCAAGCCCAGAGTTCACCCCTGAGACACACGACCTGTCTGCTACTCACCTAGCACCAGCCTAACTTACTTGTCTTGCACAGATGCCAACTTGGCCTCTCCTGAACTGACCCCTCATGCTCTGAACCATGCCACAGCCGTAAGTTAATACCAGAACTTAAATACTGGATAGCAAAGAGCGACACAATGGATTGTACTGTAGCAGCAGAAAATGTCTCCTGCTACTGTCTGCAATCCAAATTAACTGTGCCCTTTTCCATCATCACCCATCCTCCAAGACAATCATACATCCCATTCTGTAAAGTATGTTATTAAAAATTTATTATCATTATGAAATCAACGTAAGAAAGCTTATCCATTAACATCCCAAGCATTAGACTGCAACCCCTCAAATCAACTCACAAAGGTGGCTGGACTGATACCTTGATACTCTCCCACGTAGTGGAGAGAAGGCAAAGTAAAACAGAAAGTCACACTGCAATCTTTTTTTCCCCACAAGAAACATGTGCTTCTTCAGAAAAATGCTATTTTAGCATTCATTTTCTTGTACTTCTATTGCTACACAAATGCTGCACTTGGAAAACACCACCAGATTTTGGTGAGTAACAAAACCCTAAGCCACTTTAAGAATATTAACAGAAGAATGTGGATCCTGCTCGACCAACAATAAATAGGCTGATTAGCTGAAGGATAAGCAAGAATCAGTAAATTTTGGCATGTATTCACTACAGTTATCCCAGTATGTTAATTTTACTTCAAGCACGAGCCAGCTTCGGAGTTTGCACATCTAGTAATACTAGCAATTTAGTGATCATCAGTCCTTAAATTCCTTAGAAAGAACCAAAAGATAAATTACAAGCCATCAAAACAGTCTTTGTACCTTTTGAATCTCATAATAAATCATGACGTTAGCTGAGTATTTCAGGCTATTGGAGGTAGTAAGCTGTTTCACTCAGTACTTCAGTTCCATGCCCCTCCACATTCACAGTTTAAAGGCTGTCTAGGACTTGCATCTTACAGCAGACCATCACCTCTGAAGGGAGGTTTCCAAATGTTAAAGTTTCAAACTCAAAAGGCTATTGCAAGAGTTGAAATGAACAGAAAGACAAAACTATTCATGAAAACTGCATCCTGAAGATTCTAAATATAGTCATAAGGTACAGCAGCCAAAAGCCAAACTAAGTGTTGAAGGAGATTACAATAACCACTTAAGACTCTTTAGAAACACAGTGATGGAATATAGCATAGAGCTAGCTAGGTAAGGAAAACTAGGTGTTCCTAGCCTTGTCTGTTTTACCATAAAACTTTGCAGTAACAGAAGCAAATTATCCACCAGGAACAGCGCCGGCAAAATCAAAATGGCCAATAAAATCAAGCATACAGGAGCTGGAAGGTAGCACAACCAAGATGAAACCAGCTCTCAGGACAGTAACTCAGAAATGGTTGGACAAACAGTCATTTAATTATTACAGAATTTAGTCAGACAGCCAGACATAATACTTGGAAAAATACATTGCCCTGGAGGGAGGTTACTAGTGGAGTCTCTATAAGATACGACCTTGGGATCAAGAATCATTAGTAACGGTGGCACAAAATGTAGTAACAAAACCTGCTGATAGACTACTGCCGGGACACTACGAAAACATAAGAGGTTTATACCATCAAAGGAAGAACAGCATGGCCTTGCAGACTGGCAGAGAAAGAACAGATTGAAACTCAGGAATATTTTAAAAGATCACGTACTTACAGACTAAGCATTTGTCTAAGAGTTCATTGCTTGAAAATGACTGAAGAGAAAGCCCCAAACATGCCAGCTAGCTGTCTCCAAAACAATAAGGAAACACTATGGTCCCAGCATCAGCTGAGTAAGGTCTAAGGAAATTCCACCTGGTGTACTGTGTACAGTCGTGGTTACACACATCCAGCAAGGAGTACCTTCCAGGCAAGTCAAGTCACTCCAAGTACAAACAAACAAGTGCTGACACAGAAGAGCAAGGCTAAGCAAAAGAAGACAAGGCGTAATTTCTTCAAGAGTTACAGGGTTAGCTGGCAAAAAAAAAAAAAGCTGAATGAGGGTATGACTGCTGTCTATAGATATATATTGAGGATGAACATGAAGAAAAGCCAAGAACTACTCTGAATTAAAAAAAGTTGATGTGAGAGTTAATAGATATAAAATGGTGATGAGTAAATTCAGGCCAGAAGTTAATAAGGATCCAAACAGCAGTCAGGCTCCGCTGGCTGGCTCTTTCAAAAGTGGGAGAGAAACCCTGAAACACTTTCACAACTGATTTATTAATGCGTACAGCAGGCTACATGACCTGTTGCCCAGGAAAGCAAGGAATCAGGATCCATGAGACTCCCTCCAGCTGCATGCTCTAAAATTTAAAGAACAGGTGTTTTTTAAATTGAACTTTTGATAGATAAGATAATCACATGTAGGTATGCAAACAAGTGCTTAGAAACATCAGAAGAAATAATGGATTTTAAGGACACGGGCAAGATTATCTCAGAGCAGTCAGAGATCTTTAACACTAGGCTGAACATTGCACTTTGGAAGAACGGCTTGGTATCCAGAAACCGTGACCTGGCTCCTTAGCTGACTGCAAGTACTTCATCTGAAGGGCACCCGCAAGGTCCCCGGCCCTAGGTTCAGCCTCTTCCAGAGGAGCTCCCCTACTCGGGGAGGGGAGAAAAAAAGGCTAAGGACGAGCCAGCGCTTTCCACCCGAACCTGCTCACTCACTCGTGCTCGGCCACGTCGGGCAGGTAAGCCGCATTCTCTTGCGAGGGGTGCGCCATGAAAACCACGTCCAGGTCGTCAAACGCTCCAGCCTTTATCAGGTCTATTTTGCCCCCTCCTTGCTCTTCCCTGGGCGTCCCCAGCACCGTGACCTGCAGCACGAAGGTAGAGAGTCAGGGGCCGCCGGGCCCA